TGGAGGGGGGGGGGGGCTAAGAAAGCTATGTTTTTGCATAATCCTACTCAACTAGGCTGTGTTGCGCCTTCATGGCGTACAAGGCGTAAGAATTGGAGAGTGGATGCTTGAAAAAGTCCAGCAATTAATTTCAAAAGATCTAATGCTGCACAGTGACACAGTGCATGACCCGTGGCCCCAGCCACTCGAAGCCTTAATCGCTTCAGAAGCCAAGTCCGAAAGTGGCGGGCAATCCCTCCACAGATGCAAGTACCCGCTTAACCCTATACAATCCCCATGTATTCCTATATAATCCCAAACTGACCGGCCGCAGTCAAAACAACTAATAAAATCACACTGCGTCATCTGACAGAGCTTAGCGATTTGTTCATTGCAGTTACGCAGATATCAAATTTCAGACATGGGGCCCCGCGCATACCTGTAGACATGCGATTCCTCGTTGTTATCGATACTAGCAAAAAGTGCCCATTTACGCAACCCAAAATCCATAGATATATATATATATACATATATATAACATGTACTTATACGTACACACGCACGTTTACATGCACAGGTTACTAGAAAACCTCAGACACTTGCATATAGCCCTACATAACCGGATATAACCCTATGTAGCAAAACAAGTACTGACTTTTTTTTAATGGCAACTCTAAGCAGATGCCTTGCAGGTGGCGCCTGAGGCTGTATGGGAGGCGCTTCGGTGGAGGCCGGCTTGCGACGGCACAGCGCCAATACCGTTGCTTCGCCAAGATAAGGGGGTTTGGCTCTTTGGATGAAGAAGGGCTTAATGATTGCAGTCATGTGATAGTTGTAGGGTCTCGACAATGAGGGTCGGAGTGAGGAACACTCATTCTGTAGGGTTTGCATAAAGTTTTGTAATGGTACTTGTTGGAGCGGTGGGAAAACATGATCAAACATCAGCAAACGCAAAAACGCAAGCAAATAATTAGGGCTAGCGAAATACAGTAGCGTTTCGAATGTGCCTGGGGAGGGGGCTTAATTGCTTGTCTGTGCTGAAGCGGAGGTGACCGCTTGGCCTGTTACAGCTTACACCCCCACACGTTGGTTGCACATACCACACGCATGGCGAAATGGTATCTTGCTCAATGCACCTTACTTGTTCCGTTACTTTGTTTCCTAATTGTTTTGATCTGCTGCATGTGTCTTCCATTTGCAAGGCTTTCTGAACATGATGATATCACGATAACCCTAGGGATCCAGATCCTGGAATCTAGATCTCATCAGCGGATGATAAATGATCTGCCAACTGCAAAACCTCAGAAAGGGAATTACGAGATACTGGAGGCATGTAATCAGAGTCTGGTTATTCTCAAAATAATGTGCCTCTTTCGGTCATGGATTATATTACGGCACCTAATATCTAGGGGTAAGGGGACGGAAGAAGATTGCCGAGGCTGATTGTTGCAGCGATTCTGCTGCAGTGGCCCGAGGTCGGACAGCCTTCTTTTCTGGTAAGAAGTGCGTTAATCCTTGATATTCAATCTGGCTTGGGCTAAACGCAGGGTGGAAAGTTTGCTGTAGTGAAGCTCCAAACAATGTGACCGGCAAGTGGCGTTGAAGCAAGGCCTATCTAAGAGTGAAAGGGCATGACTATCAAGGGCCAGTGGGCTAAATGGTTAGTAGTTATTTGGGCCGAGATACGAAAGCATTCAAGTTATGACCATTTCATAGCCTGTGTCTATATATCTTTTTAGAAGATATATACATTTAATCACATTAGTGTTTCGTAATATCCCTACCTACTCGTAGTTAGGGTTGGGCTTTGCTGTTCGGGATGTTCAGGCCAGCAGGCCAAACGTCAACCTTCGGCCGCTGTACGCTAGTGAGTCAGCTACGTTTCAAGCGCTTGGAGACGAACGTTTGAAGCGGAGATCGCGGTGCTCTACTGGGCTTTTGTTAGTTTTTTTTTTTTTTTT